TCTTTAATAAAAATCCCATCTGCTTTAATGCGTTCTTCATATTTTGAGCTTTAATGAGCTTTCTATCAATCTGGAACATTATCTAGTTTTGTCTTTATAACTATACTTGTTAAGGAGATAAGAGTACCTTTGTAATGAGCAACAAACATCTCTGCACGACGTAATCTGTACAAATGAATTTCTATTAACTCTTCTCCTCCCTCTTAAAAAACTTTTTGTCCCTTGAAACAGCTCCTCCCGACTCCTGAAAGTGTTTCACTTCAGAGGAACTATTCAGAAGCAAAAACAAAAAATGTTTTAATTTTGTCACCTATGACGTTAGCTGTACTTTTAAATCAAGAATAAGACCTGGAACTAAACACGGAAGAAAACAAGGCTTCCTAATTGACAACTAATGCTTTAATATCTTACATCGCTGTGTTTGCATCAATCAATTATGTGATTAAAAATATGAAAATAAACAAGCTTCTTTATCAAAATTTAATTAATAAACAAACAAATAAGCAAATAAATAAATAACTACATTCTTGGTTGAATGGATTGCCGAGGTCACATTTAGTTATTGTTAAGTGGCTTTGAATAGCTCCCTTGATTTCACAGTTCCAAATGACCCGCGATAATCAGGTCATTAAAATGAGCCCATTCTCCACATCTGACACACTTCCACTCCCGCCTCATCTGAATAACAAATAAGCTCCAGAACACTTTTCCAAATAGAGGAAGGGGGGGAAAAAAAGGATGAAATAGGTTTCCTCTTTACTTTGAGGTTAACCTTGTCTCTTTATTCAGACAAAAAGATAGCAAGTGAGCCAGAGGGGTCGAAAAGGTCCTGTCAAAAGTACTAGCACCTCTGTGAAAGGACCCAGTTTTCTTAATTCATCCCTTAGGACCGGATAAGTCTATCAATCTGTTAAATTGGAAAGCCATTAGGTGCCCTGGTTTATGTGTTTCAAGCTGTTAACTAGAGGCTGATTGATTGTTGTTCCTTTGATGGGATATGCTGATCTAATCTCACTGTGTGCACGTTTGCAATAAATTACACAATTCATTTCCCCCATTTAGAGGGGGGAAATCACACCTCCAGGCATGCCTATGCTCTGCAGGCAAAAGAGCAGGGAACCTATTTTATGGTGCCATTTAGCTGGCAAGCTTTCAGCAATCCCGGCTTTCTTTCCAACCCCCTCCCTCACCCTCTATTCTTCCAAAAAAAAAAAAAAGAAAGAAAGAAAGAAAGAAAAAAAATCGAAGCATAATCAAGGTGTATGTTTAGAAAATTTATTGTTATAATTTCCCCCCATAATCTCCTCTATTTTCCTGCAGCCGCGCTGACATAGATCATCATCTAAAAGGAGAAAATGGATAGCAGTTTAAAATTTATCGGTCTTTGATTCTCAATTATACGTGTTTATGACTTCATCTGTCTTCAGTGACTTCAACCTTTTCCATTATGGTGGAATATTATTTGTACGAAATCCATTAAATTCACAAGGCAGGACTCTAATGGTGGGGCTGCAGCGATTTGCAGAGGGAAAAGTTTTGAAAGGTTGGCTTTAGGAAAAGCGCGACTGTTATGACACAAGAAATTGCTTTATTGATGGTGTGCTCTGCTGCCTGTGCATTTGGTCATTTGTTACCCGGCCCATATCTATATCTCAGTCTGACACTGATGAGAACTTTTTTGCTACCCTCTCCAGATTACCGACTTGTAATGACACATACAGGTGGGCTAGGTAAAAGCTTACGATCCAGGGAAGAGTTTTTGGAAGAACAGAGGATGGATATTAAGGCTCGGTGCCTGAAGGGCTCTGATAAAACTGCTCATAATGGAGAAAAAGGGATACATCACTCCAATGACTGTTTCTATCCAAACTTTACAGAGGTCATCATCCCGGCTCAGAAACAATAAAGAAAGAGAAAGGGTGATAAAATGGAGAATAAATGAGAACGGGGAGATAAAAAAGGGAATATGTCTTCTACATGCTCATATGGTGCCTCCTAGGCTACGTGTTTTCTGATTATTTCTGTACCAGAATAGAAGAGCTGTTCTCCTCATCAGAGATACACGTTGTTTACACAGGAAGTAACAAGATTCCTCTCAGTTAAGATCAGCTGAATGAGATTGAGCTTCTTAGGCTGGCTGGCGCAAGTCGCCATATAAAAGTTAATCAGGCTGTAATTCAGGATTTGCCCAGCAACAATCAATACCTGCACAATCCCAATTAAAGCTTGCCGGGTCAGTGGACGGCCACTAATTCCTTTAAATGCAATGCTTAAATCTAAGCAATCTTGGTGTGGCCTTCATTGGTTTAATGGCTTGTAGCAGCAGGAATGGACAGCTTAGAATGCAGAAAAGGCACAGAGTGCACAAGTTTCTGTGAAGAAATGTTTCATGTTTCAAGATTGAACTCATTTATGAAAATAGCGGCAGAAATTGGAGGGCTCTGAGTTTGGAGTATCCTTAAAATTTCTCTACAATTTATTTTGATACCGACATAGTCCATCTATGATTCTGAAGTTTTGCCTTAACTTGTGTAAATATCTCAGTATTACTATTCTCACACAAGTAAAAGCTCTGAATTCTTCCCCCACACTACTCAGAGCTCACAATAACAAACCGACAGTTCCACTGTCAACATCTCTTAGCGACCTATTTTCCCCCATTCTCTCTCCAGTTTTCTCCCTCAGAGCTTTTCCATTGCCTTTTATCACAAGTCTGACCCGCAGAAAGGAATTCTCACAAGATATCAAAACAAAAATCTATATTTAATATGGGAGCAATTACAAAGCAAAGTTGGCTGCACAGGGTTGTTGTCACCAGAGCGCGTGTTTTTCATCAAATAGGTCATTAGACGATGATGGATGTAAACCTATAAAGTATCTAAACTGGGCCTTTTAACAAACCATGAGCAACACTATCATTTCTCTAATAGAACCTGCTGACCGTGTCATTCCCTCTTGCCATTTGTCATTTTTTCTTGTGAAATAATCAATATCTGGGCGCTTTGAAATAAATAATATAAAAGTCATGGTAACCTACCAGAGGAGCAACAAAAATAGACTTATGGAGCATTCAGAGGGCTTATACGGCCTCCGGGCAATGTTCACTACATGCTTGTAATCAATGCATAATAAGAGCTGCTCTTTTTCAGGTTCCTATTCTGTTCAAGGTTAGTGTCTGCTGGATTCTTCCTCACATGCTGAACTGTGACAGGAAAGCATCTACTGGACCCTTTAATGGAATTGTACATGTGTCAGCGCTTTACTATCAATAAGGTGCATCCAAATTGCAGTTTTTTGCAAAGGGCTGAGTATATGAGGTTGAATAAACAAAGGTCTTAGTTTTTTCTTTATAATAAATGTTTCAGACAGTTTAGTAAAAAGTGCTGTGCACAGATAGGCGGGGCATGTCATTATTTGATTTTTTTATCCTCTCATAACACTTTTCCATCCTAATGCGAGTGGACTTTCCCAGTATGAACATTTCTACTACCATGCAGCATGGAGGGTCACTGAATAGCTTGACCAGCTTCTGGTCATGACAGAATGATCACATGTTGCAATCTTCTACAGACACTAAACCCAATAGAACACAGCTTCAGGAAGGCTTTGTAAACAAAGGAGCGGGTTTTAAATGCACTGATGATGCTCTGGTGGGATTAATCTGTAGAGTGTCTTTCCATCAACATGGAAAAAACAACTAATTTATATGTCGTGAATGTAGTCCTAGAGGGTCAGACTGTTGAAAGAAAACGCTTGTATGATCAATGATGCTGTGTTTCTTAGTTTTAAAAGCACTGGATGTCCTTGTCACAATAACTTGGCTTTTAGGAATTGTTTTCTGATGCCATATTTACTAAAAAGACTCAGGGAACTATCACCTGTAGTTATAACATGGAAACGCAATACTTAAATTCCTAAAATATCTATTGAGCAGCTAACTAAGATACAAACCAAATGGGTGTGACAGTAGGCCTACGCATGCACGGGCTTTTCATTCTTATTTGTAGAGGCGTTGCTTTAACTTGGATCATTACCAAGAAAATCCTTGATAAGGGAAAGCCCGTATTGTTTGACAATAATTCTAGTGCTCTGTCATGACCCAAAATACCACAACTCAGATTGTGTAGTAACCACAAATGATAAAAAATAAGCCAGTAGCAAAGGTTTCGCTCATGTGCATTTCCACCTTGTGGCCCAAAGAGGGCGCTGCCTCCCCGTCCTTTCTCCCAACCAAATGGGCCCCTTCTTAACAAGTCAATTAATATCAATGAGTGAATATACATAGCACATTTACAAAGAGTGCAATCTGAGGGATGAATTAACGAAATCGATTAGGGATGATAAAATGACTGTGCGACTTGCAGACATTGTGGAAGTGGCCCTCGCTGAAAATCAATGAATTAGAAATATGAATCTAATCGCCCATTGGTGACACATAGAGGAGCTGCAACCTGCTCTCAGGCCTTTTTTATACTGTGGCTCGGAATGGGAGAAGCCAAATTTGGAAACTATCAGCAGTTAAAGCCTTGGGAAAAATTACTCGTGACGTATTAGATTTTATTCAAGTGGTTCTGAAAATGTGCTAATAAGAGGTGCACACGTGACGATGAGAATTTACTTATGATGACGAAATTCAGGAGGAAACGGAATAAGGATTATGTTTATTGTTTGATGGGGTTTTTTCTCGTCGTGGGACCAAATAAAATAGCTGTTAAACGCACGCTTAACATCGGACTTTTTATATATATATATATAAACTGTGTATATATATATATATATAGCCTATATCAATATTTATTTGTTAACATTTTTTATTACAGACAACTTTGCAGCTAAACTGAATGGACTCCTGTATAGGCCTCGGATAATCGCTGTTCTTTCCACTTTTCTGATCTAACTCAAAGTTTAGGCACGACAATGCGCCCCTTTCGTCGTTCCAAAGCCTGTATTTGGCGGTAACATGGCCGTGTGTATTTGCTGCTAATTGGACTGTATGAGACCAATAACAGGGGAGCGCACACAGCCTGCGGCGAGAGCGCACAGGGAGGGGAGGATGGTCTCTCCCTCTCTTTCTCCCTCCCCTCGCCGTCTCTCCCTTAATCCCATTTGCCATTGTACATGCCCAATCGCCTATACTTTCCACATTTAACTTGGATGACATTTTTATTTCATCATTAGCATCAGACGCCAGACTGACTGACACAGTGGACACAGATTGCGTTTTGACGGAAGACTCCGGGATGAGACATGTTCATGTTTTTGCGCGTCTATTCTTAAGCTCTCAAACAATTTGTTTGATCACTTTTTCCAGCCGGGAAGGACGCGTGTTTTGACGCGTAGCCAGGGTGTGAAATCGACTTTAAGAGAACAACTGAACAGCGACTTTACGCAACCAGGATAGCCTCGGTCTGTCAGTCACTCGTGCTTTTTTTTTCTTCGGTAAAAAACAAACAAACAAAAAAATCCTGCTTCCGTGGTCCTCCACGTTCAGACCTCTACAGCAGCGATGCCAGAGACAACGCAAGAGACGTGCGCTCCGGCCAAGGATTCGCCTTTCTTCATTAAGAACCTGCTGAACTGTGACAGCAAACCGCCCAAGCCCAAGCCGGTACTGACCGCCGCCAAGGCGGTGTTGGAGGGAGGATTTTCCCTTTCTCAGGTTGGGGAATTCAACTTCCCACGCTTCGACTTGCCCGCGCAGAGGTTCAGCCTCCCGGCCCACTACCTGGAGCGAACGTCGGCGTGGTGGTACCCCTACACCCTCAGCTCAGCCGCGCACCTGCACAGAAGCGAAGGTAAGCCCTCTGATGGGTGCATCTCACTAAGTTCTATCCGCATGTCATTATTAATCGGCTGCAGGCATACGTAAAAAAAATAGTTGCTACGTATGAGACCATTTCATTATATCAGCTTGAATAAAATAAAAATCTTTGGGGCATCGCTATCGGAAAAATGACAGATAAAAGTAGTATTAAAACCTATTTGTTTCCGGAATATGGCAGCTGAGACTGTAGTAGGCTAATGATTGAACACCCTGTCCCCCTTACAAGGCCTATTTTGTTATGCCATGGTGTGGGGTAATAGATCAATAAAGTAACGCACTGTGCATAAAATGAAGTAGACATCATCAAATCATTGGATGAGGGTGACGATGCGCAGCGTGCTTCTGATTTGTCTCTTAACGTCACGGTGCACATCTCACCCCCGGGGCTCGGTCCGTGACAACCTGGCTGCTTCCCTCTCACTATGATTTATCCGTGTGGAGTCACAGCACATATAGACACAAAGCTGCGCCGCTCCGTTTCAGCGTAAATACAACAGAGAGTCTGAAAAGTGCTTAAGCTTTATTTGCCAAAAGAGGGGTTTTAAAAACGCCGGATTGGTTTTAATCCAAAACTGGCTGCATTTTAATTTCTGTGATCAAACTAAACGCGATCTGTCTGTTTGTGCAGAAACAACTAATGGTTGAATAAATAAATATGGTTTATGGGTCCGTCTGTGATGGGAAACGTTTGTCCTGGCAGCGTTTCCTCCCGTTTTAGTTTCCCCAAAGTCTTCTCGGTATCAACAGGCTGTAAGAATGCTCTGTGCTCATGGCCTCATCTCTGTCTCCACGTTCCAGCTGCAGAGAAGCCAGCCGCCAGGGACTCCTCTCCGACGTCGGGCACAGACAGAGACTCCCCGGACCTGGTGCTCAAATCCGAGCCGGACGCCAAAGACGACGACGAAGACGACGAGCACAACAACAACAAGAGCAGCGACGAGATCATCCTGGAGGAGAGCGACACCGACGAGGCCAAAAAGGACGAGCTGGAGGAGTGGAAGAAGAGGGACGAGGACAAGAAGCCGTGCCGCAAGAAGAAGACGCGCACCGTGTTCTCCCGGAGCCAGGTGTTCCAGCTGGAGTCCACCTTCGACATGAAGCGCTACCTGAGCAGCTCGGAGCGCGCCGGCCTGGCCGCGTCCCTCCACCTGACGGAGACCCAGGTCAAGATCTGGTTCCAGAACAGGAGGAACAAGTGGAAGCGGCAGCTGGCGGCGGAGCTGGAGGCCGCCAACCTGAGCCACGCCGCGGCGCAGAGGATAGTCCGGGTGCCCATCCTCTACCACGAGAACTCGGCCTCTGAGGGCGGGGGCGCGGCCGCCAGCGTGCCCGTGAGCCAGCCGCTGCTCACCTTCCCGCACCCCGGCGTCTACTACTCCCACCCCATAGTCACGTCTGTGCCGCTGCTCAGGCCGGTTTGAAAGCGGCCGAGCTTTGTGGCACAGGGGCGCACCGGTTTATTCTAAAAAAAAAAAGATTAAGAATAGACAATATTTTTTTATACAACAGTGAGGAAAAAGAAATAGGAAAAGACTGTCTCTGTCAGGCAAACAAGGACCTATTTTGGCAAAATAAATCGTGTCAATTTCCACAAGGGTATACCGTTTACACATGATCCAACGTTACTGATATTAGAATTCTAACGATCACCTCAGGAGTCCATTCACAGATACTGCCTGACGAGTGTTTTCTTTCCTTGTTTTCACCCCCCCTGACCGTTGCAGGACAGGCCAACTCTGTGTGGTGTACAAAAAAAAAACCCGACCTTGTTTACAAAGAACTGGCGCTTCCTGTTCGTCATTTGATTTTATTTGACTTTTCCACCACTGATGGCAGATGATGTGCAATACACTGACACTGTGCTGTGAATGCATGGTTCCACTGACCGGGAAACAACAGCTTGTTTCCCGGAGTTTCCATGTCGGAGTACAGATTAAGCTTGTGATGTTTTTTATTTTATTTTAAATCTTTTTCTTTTCATTGTCCTTTTCCTTTTAAAGCGCTTGACCGGGGACAATCAAGACACTGTAGAGCTGTAAAATATCAATGTAGCTTTATGCTTTCGTAACTCTTTCTGTCGCTCCTTCTACACGGACACGTCTTTAGAGCACAAGTCTTTGGGTTTTTAAACAGGAGGTGTAAAAAAAGAAAATCGTCTACACTGGTGTAAAAAACATGTAAATGTATATATTTAATGAGGCGCGGGGAGAGGGGAGTCCTCACACGGCTTCTCCTTTGTATCATAAAAAACGACGTTTTGATATTGTATTGCTGAACCATGTTGTGAAATAAATGGAGAGTATTCCTTACGTTTTTGGACATTTTTGCATAATTCGCTGATTTAAAATTCTAAGACTTGAAAAAAAAAGTATTTGACATTTGAGGCCGATTTTTTTTTTTTAAAGAAAAGAGTCCCTGCTCATTAAGTCGTGCATACCCACACGCGCACGTGCCCACTTGGAGCAGTGGCAGGTGGGTTTCGCTAATCGTGATCTGCACTTTAAAGCGTTATTTTACATAAAGAGTGGTTCGGTCAATTAGATGCGTAATTGGCACCATCTTGCCAAAATTATAGGTAATGTATTCAGGGGAAATGACTGTCCAAGTAGTAGCTGCCGTCCAAACGTGTTATTTTCGTTATCTCGTGGCCGTGCGCGTGCGTGTGTGACTCACGTAGTGTTAGTCTCCCGATGAATTTGTCTGTAAATAGGCTTTTACCAGTTTTCTTTTTAAAGTTTATATTGCAGATTTACTTTAAAATGTTAAATGTTGTCATTTTTAACACGTTTCTTTCAGTAATCGTTTCGTTTAAAAAGAGAAAAAAAGGAATTTTCCATAAAGGACAAAAGTGACGTGACACGACAACTGCGTAATGTATCCAGTGTAGCTTTTACAAAATAAAAAAATATATTTGTCCCTGTGACAATTTTCTTTTCAGAAGTAAATTAAAAAACGGATCTCAAAGTGTTTCCTCCGATCAAGCCAATATTAATGATTTTTTCCTTAATTACCGTGGTCTAAATGAAAAAAGAAGCGTAAAAGAAAATGTAAAATATAAAATTAGAGATGAATTATTAAACTGGTGCTTTGTTATCCAAGGTCCTACAGGTGTCAAAAGACAGAAGAAAAGTGTGACTTAGCTTAAACATCTATTAATGCATAGGCTTAGCTTCTTTTCCTTTTTTTCTAACACGGAAGGACAGCCACTTCTGAACGATTTTAATGTGCCTTTCCACCCGTATGAGCGAAATCGACCGTTTTCCAGTGAAATGTACACAGCAGTGAGAACACTTTTTCGAGAGTCACTATTTGTGAGCGTGAGGGGATGAGTCTCCAAAGGATGGAGGTGGACATCTTAAGACAAGGCCGAGCGAAAGAGATACAATGTGTGGCATTTTGCTTTTATAGTATTTATTTGTTTTTCTACTCGATTACCCTTATTATTCACTTATTTGTATACTTTACTTTTTCATAGTGTGTTCTTTCTTAACACTTAACCTCTCATTTAGGCAGAAATAACAAATAGAGCCGACTATAACATTGGATTAATAATATTAAAAGATATAATCAAATATGAAGTAATAGAAAATGAACACAACAGCAAAATGGGCCCATGTGCTTGTTCTCTGAGCCCGGACTGCGCGCCGTAAAGCAACCGAAAGCTCGCCTCTGCATTTCCCAAACCTTGGGAGTAATGTGAGCATCTGAAATGAGACGGTGTGTAAAACTGCGAGGCGCGTGCCTTTTCTGAGACAGAGGAACCTTTAAAGCCACTAATTGTTTTCATCTGCGGGCTAATACGGTTATTGGAAATTAATCAGCCAGATATAAACTCCCCATGATGACCTCATCAAGAGACAAAGGCTCCATTCAAATATTATCAGATCACCCGAGTATTGACGTGCAGCTACCTACCATGCACGCTCAACACGGCCCCATTACCGCAAATTAATAGATTAATATGGTATTATTCCTCTGGCACATATCGATCTGTGAACGTCTGCAGCACGCTGCGTCAAGTAAGAGCAACGTTCACACACACAGCTCCGGCTCAGCTTCTGACCTTGATTTACGCGCATAAATTGAAAAAATTACCACTCGATAATTTCCATTTGTGCGACATCTTTATGTAAAGGAGGAGAGGGAGTGGGGCCAAAATCAGATAAAGCACATTTGCACGAACGGGGACAAACGGACGTGACCGGAGGACAGTGCTTAGTGCATGGCATTAAAATGGAGGGCTGGATGTGTCATTCTGAGCCCCAGCGTGGGCTTCAGGAGCAGTTTGGAAGCCCACAAGTGGCCCGGGCCACATATAGTGCTCACCTCTTTTCCACAGCTGCTGACTGATCACGTGACGACTCGACCAATAAAAGTTTGATCCGAGCTTTATTTAGATTTTTGTTCCGGCGAAAATGTGTAAGAAATCACATTTGGCAGACTACCAAGGCAAAAAAAAAAAATCCATAGAGCAAATATATCAGGTGGTTAGTTTACACTCTCAGCTTTAAAGGTGAAAATATCCATCTCCGGATCAAACAACAAACATCCTCTTTGGTGGCTGCCTCAAGCCGAAGGGGGGCCAAAAACGACTGTTGAAAAAAGTTCAACATGATCCCTCAAACGCAGCTTTCATGTAACCGTCTGTGCTTATCCCCTTACGAGCACACTGGTAATCTCAGGCCGGAATCAGGTCACGGCAGCCCCTCAACAGGCGTCCCACGCAGCCTCCAAACACTCCCGTGTTGGAGCAATTCCTCCTGACACTTCTTGAAGAGCAAATCTCGCTTTATCCCCATGCCACATTTGCTTTCCTGATTGAACGCGAACATCAGATTTTCATCAAAGTTCTATTAAGTGAAACATAGGTTGCGGGGCACCGTCTGATTGGAACAGTTTAAATTTTAATTGTGTTTTTAATTTGACATATAGTTGCTGTGAAGAATGACACCGAAACGCCGAGGGGCGGTCGATTTTCTTAATTTCTCCCCGAGGAATTGATGAGTCTATCAGGGCAGTAGATTGGAAAGCCATTAAAACTCAATGGTTAGGTTGTTAATTGGAACTTGATGGATAGGAGCCCTTGGATAGGCTGTACTGATCCAATCTTCCTGACTTTGTATTTTCCAATAAATTACCCAGTTCATTTCCACACTCAGATTACATAAATTGTACACCTCCAGGGCTTGGGCGCTATGCTTGCGCGTACAACTCTCTCTCTCTCTCTTTTTCTCATTCACATGTACACCCACCCACCCACGCGCGCGCGCCATCACGCACGGACGCACATAAACGCCTCATGAAAAAAGAGCAGGCCCCGCTTTCTTGAATGAAAATCGAAACATAATCAACGTTTATACTTAGAAAATTTATCGATATCATTTTCTCTGGTAATTTCCTTATTTTAGACTCGGACACGCCATATATCATAATACACACGTGTAAAGGGTCTTTGTTTAATATTTATCGAAGCTTGATTCCCAGATCAAAGCGCCTCATAACTTCATCTGTCTTTCTCAGACCTTTCTCCCCCGCTAAAGATCTTGTTATGTTATTGCGGTAGGGCGGCCATAGTACGCCACCTATCACCGTGATAGAGCACAAAGTTAGGCCCGCTCTGCTCGCTGTTCGGGGCCTCACCGGTCCTCTCCACCGAGAGGGCCGGGAGGGGGGGGGGGTCCACATTTCCATACTGATGGAAGCCCCTGCACGGGCCGGCCTCTGCCACCGGACTATAAAAGCCAACCTTGGAATAAAAAAAGAAGAAGAAAAAAGAAACAGAAAGCGTAATTTATTGTCTCCAGCACAAAGGCAGCTTGTTGTGTTTACTATCCCCACGATGAGCCAATCCCACTTTGTTAAAGTCTTCTGCAAGTGATGAAGCCAACTGCACCGAGGGCTCTTTGAATGAGAAGACAGGCATATAAAATAAACCCATTTAACTGTCAATGGAGATTTCACGCCGTCTGTGTAGCCACCATAAATCCAGCATTCGCCAAGATTGCCCCCCTCCCCACCCGCCCCACCCCCCCTTTGCGTTTCTGTGACATCATTTAACAGATGCCGAGTTGAAGACATTCACCCACTGATCCACTATAGCCTCAGATGAGGAGAACACAGCCTGACGTCGTTAGTTAGTTCATCAGAGCTGCTGTTTCCGGTTTGATCACACACGTGCACCGTTTCGGTGCCGCGGACACCGGTTCACTCAGATCACTCGTGATGTGTCCGGGGTGGGGTGCACCCACCCCTCCGGACTCCCTTCTGTCCCGCATTCAGACACCCAGACCGCGTAAGAAACGCGCACGCAAACAGACGGACGCGTGCGCAAACCCCCCAAAGCCCCCCAACCACCACCACCACCACCTCCAATCAATTAGTCAATCAATTAGCCGGCCCCCACTCCGGGCCCGGCCATCACCAGGCAGATTAGCTGGGTAATGATCAAATGAATTCTTAATCGCAGATAATGGACGCGGAATGAGTTTATTATTTTCCGGGGACAAATGAGTTGAGCCTTTGTCTTAGTTTCTGGGCCTTTGCGTGCGTTTCAGTCACGGAAGCCAATTAAGAATATGCGGGATGACAAGTTTATTATGTCAGTTTTAGATTCAGTTTATTTCCAGCTGACTGAGCTTTTATCTGGTTGGACAGGTTGAACAATCTGGTACTCCAAATTTAATAATCCCTGAAGCACATATAATACACACCATCCAAGATAGCTACCAGGCTGCTTGTGGCCTAATAGCTTTGAAAATGACATTTGGACAATATTTCTCAGTTATCATTTTAAATGTAGGCTTATATATTTCAAAAAAGTAAATACGGCACCTGTTTTTTAAATGCTATTTTGTCTCGTGTGTTTATGTGGGGAACTACTCTTCTTCAGCTTTGTCCCTCTTCTCGTCCCATCTCAAAAACATGACAGGAGTTTGAAATTTCCGGGCTCGTGCTAGCGAATGCGATTGGTCCAGGAGGGGCTTACCTACATGCAAATGAGGCAGCGCAGCCCTGCTGCCTCCGATCCAGAGCGTGAGGAGGAGGACCAGGAAAACACTCATGATCCCCGAGCTCCAGAAAAAACACCTCCAACTCCTTTCAATGTTAAAACTCCACAATTAAACAGGCTGGGGTGGGGGTAAAAAAAAAAAAAAAAAAAAAAAAAAAAAAAAAACAGCAGACAAAAGAAAGCTTTCGCAATTTGAACACACCAGTCGTGCAGAAAGCAATCACGGAATACAAGCGGACAGAGGCGATTCCAGTCAACCCCTTCAGTTCTGGTATGAGGCGAGAATGAGTAGCGCAGAGGACAGCGGGAGCAAGTGCTCGTCGGGCCCGATCTCCAGCTTCACCATCCAGTCCATCCTAGGCACCGCTTCCGATGAACCGCGCTCGGGGACCAAGGAGCTCTCCAAGGGGCCGCAGCCCGCCCAGGCGCGCAGGCGCTCGCTGTCCGTGTCCTCCGAGGAGGAGTGCAGCGGCGGGGAGGACTCCGCGGACTGCTTCTGCTCCGACACGGGTCACGGCGAGCCGTGCACGCAGCACCGGAGCCACAGCTTTTCCTGTCTAGGTGAGAAACTATTACCATTTTTACAGTGCAAATGAACGCTGCACGATGCCGTTACCTTTTAAAACCCTTTTATATATAAATGCATATGTATATAAAAGGCCTAGTTTATTTTTTATTTTTTTTACAATTTCTTTTTTGTAATCCATGTCACGTTCAATTTCCTTATGTTTGTAACTGTGGCCGTGGCAGGCAGCTCATCCACTTCCACTTGTTCCCTGTGTGCAGACTATCATCGCAGTCTGGGAGCAGAGGGGTCAGATAATTAACTCTCTGTGTTACCTCTCATTTCAAATTTAATTGAGCCTGCTAATTGTTGAAACGCCTTTCCAAAAAGGCTGGACTGCACGTCGCCAATTGAGCGTTAAATCGAGCAGAATTGAATTAATAGCTCACCGTGGCCACGCCGGCCGCACTCTCCGAGGGGAGTTTGTTTTTAAAAGTCACGTGTTGATTTAATAAGTCAAGTTTCACTTCTGATCAGATGTTTAGATTGATTATTACAATTATTGCTCCACGTGTCTGTTTAAAAAAAAAAAGCATCCATAAAAAAAGCGGAGTGGGACTGTGACACCCCCATCTACCCCCTCGTGCTGCATTCAGGTCCCGCTAAAGGACTCCTGTCCGGAAACGAGGGGCTCGCGCGGCGGCCGCACCTGTCCCAGCCCCTGCTGCAGGACTACAAGGAGGAGCAGGAGAGGCCGTGCCATCAGATGTCCCCCATGTCCGAGGAGCGACAGACGGACGGCGCGGACAAGCAGGGCAACTCGGCCAAGAAGAAGACGCGCACGGTTTTTTCCCGGAGTCAGGTGTACCAGCTGGAGTCCACCTTCGACATGAAGCGCTACCTGAGCAGCTCGGAGCGGGCCTGCTTAGCCTCCAGCCTGCAGCTGACCGAGACTCAGGTCAAGACGTGGTTTCAGAACAGGCGGAACAAATGGAAACGGCAGCTGTCCGCTGAACTGGAGGCTGCCAACATGGCCCACGCCTCCGCGCAGACATTAGTGGGGATGCCGCTGGTTTTCCGAGACAACAACTTGCTGCGCGTGCCGGTCCCCCGGTCCATCGCCTTCCCGACGCCCCTGTATTACCCCGGGAGCAACCTGCCAGCGTTACCTTTATACAACTTGTACAACAAAATCGAGTACTGATATATACTGATCTGTATGTTCAAAACGGGAGTCCACATAAAAATGATTGAAAAAAAAAACATTACAAGAACAATACCACAATCTTATAAGTGTCTCCACATAACCCCTGTATATTATTGTATTACTTTATTTGTTGGAAAAAAAATATTATGCAGCAACAGTCTCATAAGAAAGCAGTCAAACTTCTCTATATGTATGAAATACACCATGTGTATAATTAATAGTAAATTTGTACTTTTGTTTTATTTCATTTTATTCTTTTGACTGATAAAACACTGGATTTAAACCTTAATATCAGAAAAAAAAACTGGGATTAAAAAGATCGTCTATAACTCTTTTTATTCTTACATGGTTGGGAAAAATATTACAAATCAGTTATCTTATATTACCAGAGTACATGAAAGACATTCTTCAATATGAGGAAAATCTGTTTCTATTGTAATTTAAACGCCAATTAACAACGTTCAATAAATTTTTCTATTTCAGTGACATCTGGGCTTTGTTGTTGTTTTTAAAGGAAATTTGTGCATTTGAAAAAATATAATTTTTCCACACAGAGAAATAATCTCTCAGCAAACAATGTCATTTTAGTATGTTAAAAAATGCAAATGTACTTATGCGTTAAAGGTTGTCAGTGCAGTGGTATACTTATTGTTGTGCAGTTGCTATCTGGACAACAGTATTTAAGAAATAGTGTTTTAAACTGAGAACATCTGTACACTTTCATTGTGACTAAAATGAGGGAAAAGAATCATGAAGTTGATTAACAAAACATCACACTGCTTTCAGGGAATTTCTGTTGGATTCCACAGTACAAAGGTGCATTTAGACACCAACTTCTGTGGAATGAAAACACATTTCTAACGTGTTGTAAAATCTAATGCCATTATTCTGCTGTATGGCTATTATCATAGATACGAGCCGTTTCATTCCTGAGCCTACAAGTGGAATAAAATATCAAGCTTTGGTGTTAACTGCTGGTGCTTTCTGTTCAAATTATAAATAAGTGACTACAGAACTCTGCTGTGCAGGATGAAATCTTTACAGGTTTATAAAACTTACATAAAGTATATTTCAGGCTGAAAATGAGATGCACACTATCGCTGGCCAATCATGCCTCTGGGTGGGATCTTCTCTCATTTGAAGTCTGCCTCCTCCAGAGCATCAGGACTTGTAAGGGGAAACTTAAGACAGAGACATATTGTAAAAGTTCAAGACTCTGGCTGTCACTGAGATGCGCTCCCATTCTCCATCTGTGTAACTGATTACTGGATCAAGCACACTGTGAGTTCTCAACAGTTTGTCTTCATACTTGAGAGGCAAGGTTGCGAGGTTAGGTTTTCAAAAGTCCCAGAACAACAAATCATCAAGGATTCTTTACAAAAATCAGTTCATGCAAATATAAAACACACACGTAAATGTAATCACACAAAGTCGGATAATGCTAGGTACACACACTCGGGTATCTTCTGGTTGATGGGAGGCGATAAAACTGTGTCGTTTGCCAGCTTTCTTGGGTGTCACATCATGTACAAGGGAGCCCCACTTCACCCATCCCACCAATCTCTCAGTGTGTGCTAATGGCTACATTACCTAGCAGAATCATGACTAGCCGTGCTCTGCTGCCTCGGAGATTATGCCTGACCCAATTTCTGTAACAGCCGCCCTGTGTTTCTGGGAAAATGGATAGCGTTAGACAACAGCAGTGATTTATGGGTAACTCAAGCTACAGCGAACAGGTGAGGTGCAGGAGGATGAATTTGTGACAGATAGGAGAGAAGGAGAGAAGAGAGACAGAAAAGGGACGAGGGACAGTAATGCTTATGAAAAGGAGCGATAGTTTTGGTTGAATGAAGCTGTTTATTAGTTCCAAGTGGTCATTATGTCGTCATGTGTGACGGCAGTGCAAGGCTTTTTTTGGAAGGATGTTTGCGGCCCACTGACTTGTGAGAAATCTGCATGACCTGTCTACTGACAATTTTTGATTTACAAGACAGGGAGAGGGAGAGAGATGTGCGGTGATGCCACTGGAAGCAAAAACATAAGAACCAGGGATTAGGAGTAAAAGAGAGGAATAGGTGGGAAGCAGAGGAAGGCGTTCGTTGTAACTATGTATCACCACAATGGCAGGCGTGAATTACAAATTTTAATAGCAAGGCAATGAAAATGATTTGAAGTGGTTTAAACTGCAAAGAGACAGCGACTGGCATGGTGATGAAGATTTGTTGAGATGATATGTTGTGCCTTAGGATTCATCAAACCTGCCTGGTAAGGTGAAAAGCAAGTGTAATTCACTCTGTGGGATAATTTATGACGGGGGTAATGGAAACTGTGGGCTACACACACTGCAGGGAGGGAGAGGTAAAGATGGAGTGCACTGGGCAAATTGATTCTCAGGATAGTTCTTAGAGCATATTTACAGGATCATTATGAATTACAAAAAAACCTCCAGATATCACCTCTTTTACATCTTGAGATAAAATGATGTAGATCAAAACTAACTTGATCAAGACTCCATTAGATTTAAACAGGCTACAACAACATTATCTATCCTTTAATGGCCTCCTCTACAATCTACGGATCTCCTTCTTTTTCTTTTTTTTTTTACATATTCTAACCTTTCATCATTTATTTGGGTAAGGGCTATTCAACTAGGTCCCAACATATTTAGAGCCATTTGATTTAAAGAGGCATGTGTGGCTCTCAGTCTGAGTGGAAGGATATGTAGTCTAACACCACAAGCAGATGCAGAACCTCGGGTCTGCCTCAAGACAAGAGTTTTAAAAGCAATCGCAATGCATTAAGCCAGACAACTCTCAAGACCTGTTTGCTCCCTAAATGAATTTGAGGGGACCGTAACAAGGTTTTTGAGGCAGGCCCTGTCATCCGCTGGCTTTAACCAGCTTCTGTATTTATGGGTTAATGGTTAAAAAGGAGAGCTTGGAGCAGAAGCGATTTTTCATGATTCTGTTTTATATCAACTGGAAATGAAGGAGCTGAAGGGAAATTGTGTTTGTCCCCCCACCACACCACTCCTTCCTGAAGCCTTCCCCCTTAACAGTAGAGGAATATCTTACCAGGCAAAGGGGTTATGGTAAATGCAACATGTGAGCCTGCGTGTCACACAAATTATGGGAAAATCATACAAACAGATTTGTATTACCGAGAAATACCTGGAGCGGCCAAAAGCATTAATGAGAAAAAAAACGCAAAAAGGTTTGATCAAGTTTTTTGTTTGTTTTTTTGTTTAAGTTTTCCCTGGTTTTGCAGTGTTATTTTAGCTACATTTGTTCAGAGGCCTTAGAGAGAGCAGAATAAAAAAAAACAACTAAAAACTTGCATTGCATTCTTTGCTAAACATAATGGATAACACCGTCAGCCAGAGGCTTCTTCACCTCCACTGTTATAAGGGCCAACACCCGCGGTAATTCCCGTGAAAGACAATGAACTTTTCATGACTGTTTGTTCCGTCTATAATTTCACACGTTTCTAATCTACATCACAACAATAAAACAGCCTTTTTGGGATGAGAAACTATTACTGAACTGTCATGGAAATTCGACTAGAACTAAAGGCCTCACAGAAGTAGTGCAGTGACATGAACAGCAGCATAAACCTTTTAGTCTCAAAAGTTAAACTCCCCAGAACAATATTTAACCAAAAAATGTGGATTAAGCCTTCAATGGTGAATTGCATTATGCTAAATTACTGACTATTTCTTGAACTCTCTGTTTTGAAGTGCCACTCGCAGTACAGTATGCATCAAACTATTATAGACGGCAGTGTGCGTAGAAAATTCAGCTATTACTCTAGAGATAAGTCCATTAGCATTACCTTTGACACAATAATGGATGTTAGATACAATTTTCTGCTCTCCATTTTGTATTTGTAAGGATAATAGGGGGATTATCTTGAAGGCCTTATGCTACACACTCAAGCGTGAGACCACCGAGACTGAGAGCTCTGCAACAGTTGTGTTTGCATCCTCCCCTCTCATTCTCAGCCCTTCCCCTTGCTCCAAGACCCTCTCAGAGAGAGGCAGGGAAGATAAAGCATGTCATTATTCTATTAAAGACCTACAATTTTTGTAATGGGACTTGCAGTGGTCGGCAGAAGTGCAGGCAGCTTCTTCAATATCCTGGACATTATTTGCTCGTTTAGTTAAATGATGTTTCTAATTCCCTCATAATTACTTGTAATGAGGCTGTCTCCCTCGTTTTGATGCGGCTACATCTTAATACAGCATGGCATTCTTTTTTAGGGATAATTACCTCTCATGAGGCCGGGGAGCAAGCCTGGGGTTTGCTGTGTGCTGCACACGTGGCAAATTGGCTTGTTTCCTGCCATCTTGTCTTCCTGCAAATTGGTAAATTAAGTTTCTCGGCTGGAGCATTAGAACTGTTAAGTTTGCTTTCTCGGCTGCCTCAAATGATTGGCTTCACTGACGGAAAGATGTTTTGTATATAATGTGTTTTCTCTCATTACCTTTGAAGACTTTGTATTTAGAAAGTATAGTTACAGGTTAGGGGATTCAAACAGCATTAGGAATGTGATTTTACCTAATCGTGTTCTTCACATGAAATGGACAAAATAAACTATGAAGTAAAATACTCATGCCGTATTTTAAATAGTTAAACTCAGAAGCAGAAGGCGGAAATGTCTGTGTGAACATTATCATGGTATCATAAATAGGTCTGGATACTGTATGGTTACAATCAAACACAATGGTTGGCATTCAAACACATCTCCACTCTTTTCGCCATGAGCTTTTTGACATGAGAAAATGCGCTTATATATTAGGAGAAATAAAACAATATGCAATCAATCTGTGCTAAATCATGGAGATGTAAAAATGTAGTGCTCTGGCCTGTGACGGACTGCGTCTTTCCTCAATTAGCAGACCCCCTCTGTGTTGTCCCTCCGAAGTGATCTAGCTGCCGTTCTCCAACCACAGCCATTGCAGGGTTGGCCGAGGGGTTTTTATTTCTAAGTGCTGATGTGTCGCAGACAGTTTGGCTCTACAAGGGCCTGTTACACGCCGATTAAAGAGAGGGAAGGGAGTGCTCCCGCAGGGCGGCCTCGTACATTTACCCCGACCACAAAAAGGTCTAACGTTTACGCCCCGGTGCTGACATGACCTTCAAACGAGGTCCCGCTGCTGCCCGGGTGGATACTGGAACTGTCTGGAGGAGACCTGCAGTGGACTAAACCGACAGACAGGAAGAGGTCATATCGTTTTTTATCAGGAACGACCTGCTATATCCTGAGAAGTAAGAAGATATGGTCCTCAATGGAAAATATA